GGGGGGGGGGCCCCCCCCCCTCTGGCCCCCCCCCAAAAAGGGGGGGGGGGGGGAGTAATATTTAGGATGCAAGACTCTCAAAACTAAAATAGATACCAGCTGTTCTCCACTTTGTTTATTAACAAATGAAAAAATGAAATAAGAATCTATCATAATATTAATAAAAAATAAAATTCAGGGAAGATTCCACCGTTCAACTTTCAATGTCAGGATACTTCCCTTATACCCAATCTAAATTAAAGCCAAAGTAATGCCCTGTCCGAAGGTACTAAACTGTAGTAAATGATTACCATGGTTCATTTCAGTCCTAAAATTTTGGGAAATGAATATGTGGGTATATATGTGTGTGTAAACATACAGGAGGCACACTGTATAAATAACAGTTACACACACTTCAATCCGATTGCCATTTTAGGGATGCTAAGATGGGTGGGGTGGAGGGGCAGGTATTTTTTTCCTCAACCCTTCTGAAATTTACCTCATGACACCCTCTCACCCAGTAAAACCCCAGAAGGTTTTCTGCTGCAATGAGCAGTGCCTCGGCCATCACCCGGCCAACACAAACAGCAAACAGGCCAACCAATATTCAACATGGTTCCAGTTCCACTGCTCTAAACTATGTTAGGGTACAGAGTCCAAGTCTCTTCTTTCCTGACCTCACTGAATTTCATTAATTATCTACGTGCTTCTTTTTTTCACTATGTGATAAAGCAAAACACACCCTGCTCAATTGTTTCCATCCCTAGAAGGTAGGAGGAGAGGGTTGGACCATTGCCATTGGAATAAGGAAACTATCTTTAGAGCTCCATTGAATCCAACCTGCAAACCTTCTCTACCCTACCTGGAAAATCCTATTCTTCCCAAGTTGAAAAAGAACACCTGTTCTCTAAATTTCAGACATCTGTAATTTCTAAAAACAGGTCAGTCTGAGTTAGCCAAAACATAAGGCTAATTTACTGCTGCAGTGGTGATAAACTGATAAGAAAGTAGAGACAGAATAGAACAATTTCATTTTATTACAAGACTAAAGCAATCGTCACAATATCACATCATGAAAAAAGATGGAGAGTGCACACAATCTAAAAGCATACATTAGATATTACAAATTTTTTTTCATATATATGTATGAATATACACAAATGCCATGAAAGAAGGAAAAAATGTACTCCAACTGAGAAATGATTACCTAAAGGAAGAGTGTTGAAGAGTGCTATAGTTACATAGAATATATAAATATATATTCTACATGTATATAATATATAAAAAACATTATAGAACGTGTCCCTGAAAAGTCTACATGTTGGAAACTTGATTTCCATCGTAACAGTGTTAACAGCCTGAGAAATCTAACTAGTGTATTTGAAAGCTGGGACCTTTAAGAGGTGATCAAATCGTGAGGACTATGTCCTTGTGAATGAATTCATTCATTCATGGATTAATGGCTTAATGTACTCACTAACTAATCATGGACCATTTTAATCTCATAAAAGAGCTATTGTTTAATGTTTCTGCATTAAATGTACTAGCAAAGCCCATTATATAGTTTCTCTTTTCATCCTCACAATAACCCTATCAACTAGTCACTATTATTATCCCCATTTTACATGAAGACACTAAGTCTTGGAAAAATTATGTGATAGAACAAGGAATGAACTCTGGAGGTTTAATTCACAGCTTGTGCTACCACTTGCTACCTGTCTCATGTTACATTATCATCACCATGATAATAAGAAGCCCTGCATCTGAGTGGCGAGGGGAAGCGGCAATATTTGATATGAAGAAGTTCCATTGCTAATTAGCCCTCTAAGTGACTGGTGTCTCACCATGTCAGGAATTAAACTCATTCTGCCACTTCTCACAGAAGTCATGAACTGTCTCATCCATAAAGACCAGATGAGAGCCTGATGCATCTACTGATCTACCATGAAGTACTTCGGGAGCTGCAGCCCAGAGAGAGGGTGCAGAGCATCTGCTTCCCCACAAAGACTGGAAATGAGCTCCAAGTTCAAGAGGCCTACATCCTGGGGGGAATGAACCACAGCTGTGTTGCTTCATACAACTCTCTCTCCAAATCCCATGCCTAAACCTTTTTCCAATAGCTAACACCAGCCCCAAACTCACGGAGGTTTTTCTGTCTGGGAGGACACTAATTTGCTCCTTCTCCTCTGCCTTCTAATATCCTAACTCAAGTAAAAAAGTATCTAATGAACCTAATGCCAACCACCTAAAAGAAACACTCAATGATGATGTGTCCAAGACACATAAAAGCCTAGTGCTCAGAGGTGTCTGCAAGTGAGAGAATTCCCCACAGCAACAGTGGCCCCTCTGAGGAGCACAGCCTCTGTCATGTGTCCTCACAGTGCTACTGCCCAGCACCAGCCCCCTCCACACCCACAGACAGACTCCACGGGCACACGTCTTGGAGGCATGATTTTTCTCATGGGTAATAGCATGTCAGTAAACCAGTGATGAAAGCATGCTCATTACAGGGCACACCGCTGCTGCACAGACACTCCGTAAGGCAGTGGAGAACCACCTCAAGCTGAAGAATGATTCTTGCCACTTGGAAAAATTCTACTTTGAACAAAGCCCTCCCCACCCTACCCCACCCCGCCCCGCCCTGCCCCTCCCCCCAAAAAAAACAAGGCCACATTAGGCCTAAAATTCAGAAGATGTAAAGATTTAGTTACAAGTGAAAAGCTTCTAAGGTGGAAAACAACAAGGATTATGGGGAGAAAAGTCAAATAAATACAGAAGAAAGACGAGCTATTGTTTAATGTTTCTGCAAGTAGCAAAGTACTTAATCTCCTGAGAGAGAGCTTTTATCTGGTCAAAACCATTTTTCATTTCAGCTTCATATAAAAATGCTCAAGCTCTGTAATAATTCTGACCCAATAACCACCCATTGACACAAAGAACATGGGATTTAGTATCTGATATCTAGTATCTAGTATTTACAGAATTTCAGAAATACTCCACAGAAGCAATATCTGATTATTAAATCATCTGACAATTCTATTCATAATGAAATCTCAATTGTATTATGTCTAAATGTGGCCAGAAGCAATACAGTGCTACTACATAAGCATCGATTCTAACCAACAATGCTAATAATTATTTCTCTGAATTCCATTATAGAAATAGACACCATAAACATGAATTATGCTGCTCATATCAAAAGACTTTAATATAAAAGTGCTACCTCTTATTTTGTAGAATATACATTTTATGGTCAGTATTATAAGTGAAATAAAACAGCATGAAATCTCTAGTAAATATATTTTGAAATAAAATTAATTTCAAATTAGGATTTAGATAATTGATATAATACATGAATTTGAATTTCTCCATCCACATCCTAAAAATGCTACTTGAAGTCAAAGATACATTAGCCTATCATACACACACAATATCAATTTGTGTAAGAGGAATCTAATATACCTTGTCAAAGGGAATACCATATTTCTTCAATACTGATGGAGAAATCAGTGTCATCTTGTGGCGAAGAAACGCATCACACCCTTGGGAGCTGCTTGGGAAAAAACCTAAATAGAAACAATAAATATAAGGAGCATTGTATCAATTGTTTTTTTTTTTTCTTTTTTTACATTTGAGTTCTAGTGTTATTACAGTATGACAGTTTCACACAAGTATATACCAACTCCACCACCAAAAAGTCATCATACTAAAAATTACAGTCAGAGTCAGAATTCTTAAAAATTAAGGGATACATATCTATGTCACCAAAGGTTGATCTTCTTTACAAGATTTGCCAAAAATTGTTTTTGTAACATAAAATTACTAAACTTTAAGAATCAATTTCAATTTTAAACAAATTTAGATTCCATGTCTATTATCTGTTAAATGGAGAAAATATTAAGGAAGGTTAGTTGCACTTTAATAGAAGAACCTCTCATTTTAGATTCTTAGTATTCATCATTCAAGAAGCACTCATCCCTATGCCTGGCAGGCAGTAGACACAGAGAAGTTCTCCACCCTTTTTTATCTTTCTGATCAATTGAAAACTAACTGCTACTCATTTCCTGAATCAACACCTCCAAGGCCCACCAAATGCTTGTGAACCTGCCTCACCAGCCTGTACGGGAGAAGTGTCTTGAGGAGGCTTTTAAACGAGGAAGCCGAACATGCAGCAACCCTTTCACTCAAGTGTATTATGCACCACGCCTTAGTCAGTTTTCGCCTTCCCTAACTTTAGTCCTGCAGGTTTAAGGCAGACTCCCACTGACACACTGACACAAGCCAGAGGAAAATGATGCCCTGCTTGTCACCCTCCTCGTTCCGAGGGAAGGCTGCCAAGCTGGCGGAGTAGAAAAGCACAAAGACAGAGAGAGAAGAACAAGAAACATGGGAAAGACAGAAGAGGCACAGAGGGAAGCCACAGATGGAAGAGAGAAGGAACCAGGAGAATGCTACTGATGCACATGAGTAACATGGGAAAAGGCACAGACACTGAGTAACTTCTCCATGGCCAAAATCTAGTAAAATCTGCTAGAAATGGGACTTATCTAACTCTGTGGCTCACTACACGCAAATAATTGAAGAATGTGGCCAATGTGAAGAAAGAATCACCCGTACTCACTAACTAATCATGGACCATTTTAATCTCATAAAATAGAAGTATTTCCCAGGAATATTTTCTTTTAGTAAATAAGCCTTTATTAATGCCACCATGGGGTATGTGAGGCCAGAGTTCATCAAAAAGAAACAAAATCAAACAGCCAGGAAAGAGCCACTGGGGTATAAGGAACCACCTGCAAAAAATAGCATATTCTGGTTAATAATCTGCTCCTGGATTAAAATATATATGCGTGTGTCCCTGGAAATGTCAGAAATAGTATCATTCTGTATAATATGAATAGGAATAAAAGGCATAGTCTTTGCCCTAAGTGGTCATATGATGCAGTACTCTGCTGATGGCTAATATAACATAAATACACAATAAAACATTACTGAATGGAGAGAAAGTGGCATACAAATGCAATGGACTTGCCTACACAATAAGATGTCCTACATGCAGAGACAGTAAGGAAAACCTGGACAGTCCCCAAACATGCAACCCATGGAAACGTTTAATAATGCAATTCAAATAGATATATCAAACTTTCCAAATCTGCAACTTTTTGCAAGACTAAATGAATTAAGTTTTAAATTAAAATCAATGAAGAAAGAAGAGTCTATTTAATTTTCTTATGATATGGATTTATAATCATGACCTGAACATTGTGGTGACTGGTCATAAGTTAATTTAAAGTGGAAAACCACGGAAGGAAGGTAATTTGCAGTATATTAAGAACTTCACATTGGTTCAGAATTTATATTTACAGTATGTTATCAGAATTATACTATATGTTGCCCTGGAAAACACCTCATATACAGCACAAATTATGTACAAAGCATATGCCTTAAAATGGACTTCACCTCAAAATACCTGCAGGGCTACATGATCCATACTTACCCTCACTCTATGGTCTATAAAAAAGTATTTTATTCAACAAATAAGTAAACCAATATAATCAGGATATTATTCAACACAGAAATGATAATATTTTTAAAGACTCAGAACTGTCCCACTAGAGAAAAGTTAGTGTCTGTCATTATATATGAGAAGACAGCTTTGGAGTCACTTGTATGGAAAATAACAAAATCAGATCTCATAGAAAAGATAACATTTAACTAAAAACTCGACTTAAGACTACCAGTGTTTTTTTGTTTTTGTTTTTTCCTCTTTTTTTTGTCTTTTTTACTGACCGGTAACGGGATAGCAACCCTCGGTGTTGCGCCCGCACCGCGCTTTTTTTGTTTTTGTTTTTTCCTCTTTTTTTTGTCTTTTTTACTGACCGGTAACGGGATAGCAACCCTCGGTGTTGCGCCCGCACCGCGCTCAGCCAGTGAGCGGGAACCGGTCTCCACATGGGATCTGAACCCTCAGCGGGAGCGCTGCCACACTCCCAAGCAGCACACTCTCCAGTGCGCCACCGGGCCGGCCCAGACTACCAGTGTTTTTGAAACAACTCAGTATGTGTCAAAATTTTTACAAATAGGGCCGGCCCGGTGGCGCACTTGGTAGAGTGCGGCGCTTGGGAGCGTGGCGGCGCTCCCGCCGAGGGTTCGGATCCCATATAGAGACCGGTCTGCTCACTGGTTGAGCGCGGTGCGGGCAAGACACCGAGGGTTGCGATCCCGTTGCCGGTCACCATACGGGCGCGACACCGAGGGTTGCGATCCCGTTGCCGGTCGCCGTACGGGCGCGACACCGAGGGTTGCGATCCCGTTACCGGTCACAAAAAAAGACAAAAAAAGGGAAGAAAAAAAAAAACAAAATTTTTTTACAAATAAGTTCTTTAAAAAAGCCTTTCTGAAACAATTTTGGTATATTCTAATATTTATTTTTTATGTTCTTTTTAAAACTTTTTAAATTATTTCAAAGAAATCTTCTCTATAAGTCATCATATTTTAATGATTCTACTGTAACATCCCATAATACTTGCCAATTCACCAGGTCACATACACCAATGGGACAGTCCACTCCTTTACAATCTTGAGGATCAAGAAGTTCCAATAAAGAAAGTTCTATATCGATCCCTCCATCATTTAGTAGTGGCATCCCTCTGCAACACCTTAGCTGTCCCACAGTCACCAGTTAGCATGCCAGGTACAGAACAACACACAGAGTAAACCTGCCACATCTTCCTGCACCATCTACTTTTTGTCTTATTAAATGATTTGGTTGATTTTTACATAAAAACAAATGTGTTAGGGGTACATGATACAAAAGTTGCATAAGTGTTTGGTGTAACAGAACTTCACTCTCCTATCATGTAGAAATATTTGGAGGACGCACTGAGAGGCACCCTATTGTGAGGTGTAAACTATGCTTTGGGAGTTTATGTAAATATTAGTCAATTCTTTCTTGCAGGTGCTCAACAAACAAATCAACTTTCTGCTCTCCTTTAACGGTCCCAAAAAACACACACGTTTTCATTGTAGTAAATAGCACAACTAAGTTTTATTCATAAGTCCTAATGTTTTGAATTACTTAAAGCCAGCTTCACCTTGTCCAGTTGTTACAAACTTAAAGTACAACTTTACAGACATAAATTCCAATCACAACTTCAACACTCTCATGGCTTTGACCAGTCACATAATCTCTCAATGCCTCAACTACTCCATCTGTACAATCAAGATACTATTACTACCTTCCTCACTGGGTCCTTATTGGAATCTAATAAGGTAATGCACACAAAACTTAGCCATAGGCAAAAGTGGACACAACCTAAATATCCATTAATTGATGGATGGATAACAAAATGTGGTATATCCACACAATGGAATATCACTCAGCCATAAAAAAGAATGAAGCACTGACACATGCTGCAACATGGAAAATATTATGCTAAGTAAAAGAAGCCAGACACAAAAGGTCACACATCATATTATTCCACGTATATGAAAAATCCAGAATAAATAAATACATAGAGACAGAAATCAGACTAGTATTTAGTTGGCAAGAGTGGTAGGTGTTATAGATAGGGAACGGAGTGTGGCCATTTAATAGGTACAGGGTGATAAAAAAAATATCCTGGAACTAGATAGAGGTAATGGTTGCACAACAGTGTAAACACACTAAATGCCACTGAACTGTACACTTTACAGTGGTTCACATATTTATGTTATGTAAGTTTTACCTCAGTTTCAAAAAGGAAATCTAAAACTTAGCAGTACACCTAACACATGGTAATAGTGAATGAATACTGGCTATTATTATCCCTATTACTCATTTCTACCATATTGGCTCTAGTCATCATGTTAGTTGAACAAATCTTCCCTTTGTACAATCCCTGCAGCCTGCTAGCTGAAAAGGTAGATTATAGTCCCAGGAGATCTAGAAAGATGATAGAGAAGTTGCCATAGATGCCCAATGGTTACCAAGCCTTAAAAACCATCGCATTCCCTTAAATCTTGTTACCAAAACTTACCAGTTCTGGTCACAATCAACTAATGTCTCTCAAAAACTAGTTCTAACAGTCAAGGTGGACGTGGATTATAATATATTGTTTTGTTTTTATATTTTGTATTCACCTATAGATTCTTCCATCCTTTCTTTAATACTGCTATTTTAAAATTAAATTTTAATATTGAGTCTGGATTCCAAATTACTCACAAATGGACTTTAAAGTAAAAATCCTAAAAAACTGAAAAGACCTGACAAAAAGGATTGATTACCAGTTATTTCACATTCCTTGTTATGGATTCTGCAGACCAAATACTCCACAGTTTATCCTCCCCATCCCCACACCAACTCTCCCCACAAGTAAGACATCAGGGTTTCTATGTTAGGCATACATACCAGTGAGCTCCCAGTGAGTTGGTGTCTGATTAGGGGGTAAAAAAAAAAACTGAAAGAGTTGTTTGGAAAAACAAACTATGTTTCTCTGAAATACTAGTAAAATATTACATAGCAAGAAGGCATACAATTCTGTTTTAAATAAATGTTCAAAAATTAAGACAAACTGCAATTTTGTAT